GCATCAAAATTCTCCAAAACTCTTGTCAAGGTTCAGAAAGATACATAAACACTACAGTAGTGACTCCAACCATTTTTTGTTAGGCTGACCTGGCAGCTAACACCTCCTGGATGCCCTGAAGAACAGCAGCACTAAAACAGGATCCTGCTGGAAAAAATGCAGTTCTAGAAAACTCTCTTGTAAGGGTGGTAACCTTACATAACCCATGGGAACTAACTACAAAATCTCAGCTCACTATGCCCCTGAAAAATGAAAGCACTGGCATGGAAATCTTCCTTACTCCAATAGAAGGAGAATGCTTTTCCACCTGATAACAGATCCACCTGACATGTAAGCACAGTGAGTAATGCAGCWCTACAGAGGAAAGGGGACTGCTGGCTTGGCTGAGAGCCCTTGAGACAGCTCAGCTCCTACACAGAGCTCTTTCAATTTCATAAGATGCAATTCAGYTTGCTGGCTTGTATGAATCATACAACCATGTCAATGCAGCCATTTAATTTTTTTTTTCCAATCAAAATAAAGGCATATTCAGACCTTTTCCTGTGAAGAGCTGAAATAGATATAGGCTATTTTCATCTCAAAGAGTATGATGCATTTGAGACATATCATCACTGCAATCTGTATTATTTCTAATTTTACAGTTTTAGATTTTTTTTTAAACTGTTCACTTTAAAATATCACCAAGCCTGTAATTCTGAGTAATTTCTTTATAATGTAGGACAACACTTGAGAAACTTTACATGTATATGAGTGGTAAAGAAATCTTGTCTTCATCTGTGAATAGTAGCTCAGGGAAGGTAACTTCTCTTTAGTAATATTCAACTTTTCCCACAACCAAAACTTAAATTTCTGTTGTAGAAATTCCTAGTGTCTTACAGAGTCAAAAACCTGAGGGGGCAGCTGACAGTCTACATCATGTCACACTATGCATTTGAACCTCTAAAAACAGCATGTGGATCTCCAATCAAGATTTGAGATCAGCATGACTTGTACGGTATGTTCAACAAGACTAAAGCCAACTTTGTAAAAGAAATTTTCAGCAACACCAGCACATCTTCCTATCACCTTCCCTATTCTGAATTTTTTAAGATCTCCTACTGCTCTGTCTGTCCCAAAGGTGTTGCAAAAGCCCCTCATACCAGGATCAGCTGTAACCCTACTTTCAGGCTTAGTACTCAACATTCTATAATTTTGCTTTTTAGCCATTTCTTCCCACTGGTTCTCCTCAGAAAATTCACTGAAAAATTGTCTCCTAGTGAATGCTGTGAGGTCGTTTTTGGTTTTTTGGTTTTTTTTTTGTTTGTTTTTTTTTTTTTTTTGTTTGTTTGTTTGTTTTTTTGGTTTTTTTTTTCTGAATTAGTCAAAATATCAGTTAGAAAATAAGATTGAGGAGAAGAAGGAGATGACACCTGAAGTTGTGGTGAGTGCTGTAGCTCCTGCAGGTAAGAAATGCGGGCACCAAAATGRTGAGATTAGGGCTCCCGTCTGGTGCTCTCTGTGAGCCATTAGAAAGCATAATTGTGAAGGCAAGGCATAATGGAGGAAACATCTCAAAACTTCATTGGGAAAAAATATTGCATAGAAAAGAGTTAAATATTTTTATTTCAGGATTGCAGCTTCTAAAGTTGCTAYTGCAACCAAATGCAGTTTTGCAAATGYTAMCACTTTCAGTAATAGGAAGCCCATKTCTGAATGAACAACCAAATAGAGATGCTGACATTCCAGGTTATTGACTTCTTAAATTCTAATTTTATCCTAAYATAAGTATCTTGTTAAAATAGACCCACTTAGATGTGGTTCAAATTTGCTGCAAATGAAGATCTGTAGACAGGTAAGTTTGGCCCAAGGCTCTGTGAACCTTCAGTCAAGTCCTGGTTTTCCCCAAATTCAACATTTCTGCAGCAGTTTGAAGGAAGTCAAAAGCAGCATTTTGAGTAATACAAGACACAGCAATAAACAGTCAAAATCATCYGTATTATTTAAGAATAATGAATAAAGGACAGACTCAGTGTTGCTGTGTTTCCTAGCGGGTTTTTTTCCCCTCAGTTTGAAATGACCCCTTTGCAATGGGCCACTGAACACTGTATTTCAATGCAAGTTCTTGACACATCTTTCACACAAAGTCTCCAAACACCTCATAAACATTAATAAATTAAGCTGCAAGAGCAATAATAATTACAGCTTCACATTCACAGAACCTGCGTCTCAAAATCTTCCTGAGTATCTGTGGCAGATCTAAAGRTGAAATTCAAACTTCCAATCACTTTGAATTAGGCTTCTCTACTAAATCATGCAATCACACAGTCTAATTCAGGTTGGAAGAGATCTCAGGAGACAACCTCATCCATCCACCTCCTCGAAGCAGCACTGATTACTGCTCTACACCAGGCTGATCACAGCCCCATCCAGCCAAGGCTTGAATACCCCAGGATGGGAGGATGCACCAACAATCTGGGCAAACTCTTCCAGTCTCTGACCACAGGCATGGGCAAGACATTTTCCCCGTGTCTCCAGCCAGCATCTCCCCTCGTGCAACCTGTGCCCAGGTTTTTCCTGGCCCCATTTCTGAGCTCCTCTGAGAATCATTCAGCTCCCCTCTGGARGCAAAGTCTCCATTGAGACCCAACCCAGCCATCTCATCTCCAGGATGAACAAACTCAGCTCCTCAGCCTCTCCTCCAGTGCCGTGACCACCCTGATGGACTTTCCTGAGGTCCTTCCTAATGGTCAGTGTCTCTCTTGTCCTGGACACTCCACAAAGAGACTGTCAAAATCAAGGGAGGGGAGGGGACCCCTTCCCTGGCCCTGCTGGGTGCGGCTGTGCCAGCACAGCCCTGGAGGTGCTTGGCCACCTTCACTGAAGGACACACCACTGACCCAGAGCAGCTTGACATGCAACAGCACCCAGAGCCCTTTTTGGCAGAGGTGCCTTTCTCCAAGCTTCAGGAACATCCCCCAGCCTTGACCTTTCAGTGATGACAGACAGCAACTTCACGATGACAGGATCAGCTCCCTCAGAGGCCTCCAGTGTGTCCCGTCTGGTCCCCTAGACGAGTTTATTTAAATAGACCCAAACTCCATCCTCCCCTGCTGTGGCTGCTCCCTCCCTCCCTGCCCTGAGTTTTGCTTCTGGGGCTGAGTGTGGGCAGACTCTGTCAGTAAACCCTACAGTTTCATGGAGCAGGGCATCCATTTGACTGGTTTTCCTTCTCATTTTTACTGCTGATGCACTTGTAGTAGCCATTCTTGTCCTGCTCATCCCTTGTGAGTTTTGACTCCAGACAAGCTTTGAACTTCCTCATTCTGCTCGTACAAGCCTGGACCACACTTCTGTGCTGCTCCTTGGTAGCCTGTCCCCACTTCTAYCTCCTGTCTGCTTTCTTTTGGCATTTAAGCTCAGGCAAGGGCTCATCTGTCGTCTCAAGTTTCTATTACCAATTTTCYCCCTCATTTCTTTGAAACCTTATACCCAGTGGCAAAACTTCACTTCAACACAGCTAGAATTTTACCACCCTTGAGAAATTGCTACTGTCAACTTTGTCATCTTGATCATAAAATTTTGGAGTTTTGTCATTGTTTATTACAAATAGATGCTTATGYTATAAATGATTTGATATAAATAAGCTGCACCTAAAATATTTCAGTTTGATACACAACCACATTTTGTATCATCTTACACCAGCAGCCTCTGAATCATGACAAAAAAATACTAATTCACTGTGACAGCAGATATAATCTTAGTTTTTCAACATGGAATTTTAGCAACTGAAAAATGCTTTCCAATCATCTTCAGCAGCCACAGGAACATCCAGCAGTGCTATTTTCACTTTTCAGAACTAAAATAGGTACATGCAAACTCTGTAAAGGTTTTCCTTTCCAACATACCTGTAAAGAGCTGAATGCTAAAGAGAGCACTATCCAAGAGTCCTTCTGGAAAGCATTAACTCAGAAGAAAAGGAAAAGAATAAAATTTCATCCACATTTTTGAAAGGACATGGAACAATTTTCAAGCCTGGTTTTTTCTAACTTTCTAGACAACACATTTATACTCAAATCCTAAACACTCCTTGCTGTAGTTTGAAGCACTGACATACAGTTAGGAAAACCAACAAATACGAAAATGATGGGACAGCAAACTTACATTCCTGTTCAGAAATAGATCTCACTAGGAAACATTTATACCAATTTCTTGTATACATTGTTTAAGATGGCTGACTTGGCAGTTATGTTTAAGGTTGGACTCAGTGATCTTAAAGGTCTTTTCCAACCTAAATTATTCTATGATCCTAAGATGTGGAACATACTAAAATGGCTACTTTCATATATTAATAAAAAACCCTGCTTTCAAGCAAAACTGAATGCATGCTGGATCATTCTCTCTTTTTTCACAGTTTAATGTTAACAAAACTTGCCACAGGTACTTGACACCTCTACATCCATCTCCCACTCTGCTCTCCATCCCTGTTCCAAATGCTGATATTCTCAGGATGCAACTAGTCCTTCCTCAAGAAACACCCCTAACAGCATTTCCCCCCAAAATTTCAGGAAATATATCTTCCCAAACACCCCAAGGCTCAAACCCAGACCCACACTGTTTTGCTCACAATCTCAAGATGCTTTCTTTTCAACAACAAACCGCCCACGTGGTGATTCTGAGCTAACGCTTCCTTTCCCACTTCTCTTCTTACAGACTGTTTCTTCCTGTTCCCTAAGAAATGTGTTGCAATAATAACAGTATCTCCCACTCTTCTGTGATGACAGCTTATGCCCAGTTCTGTATTCCCTCAAAACTCCCTCCCCACTTACTCACACGGGATCTCTTTGAGTTCTGGGTAACCAGATTTTCCCAACGCCTTCACAAAGCCTATCACTGTGACATTACTTTGTGTATCTTAAGATTTATCTCTGTCTTTCTGGTTGTCACTTCCCCAAGGCAAAGGCAATGTTTTTCCACAAGTTCTCTTTAGCGCTGATTACATCACACAGATAAATTTTAATTACCTTTCTGTTCAGAGCCACACCATCTTCACAGTCCAACACTGCACAATCTACATTTAGTGATGGGATTTTTCTTATCTTCTTTTCATCATCCGCAGGTACATACAGCACAGCCCGTCTGGGAACATACTTGTGTGATGATGATGATGATGATGCAAAGCGGTAACTAAGCTTAGGAGCACCAGCTGGCAGAGGAGATTCCACCCTGTAAAGGATATTGTTGAAATTAGACTATTGGCTACAATGCTGTAAATAATACTTGACTGCATTTTAAAAGCTAAAATTCCTACCTAGACAGTGGCTGGTTTTGAGCTATTTATATTTTTTTTCCCTTTGGAAGAGTCAGGTGAGGGAGATACCAGTATTACAGTTAATTACAACATAAAACCCCAAAACCACTGTGTTCAATAGAAGTTGCAAACTTAAAAAAATCATATTTGAAGACCTGCCAGGTCTGAGGTTTATCCATGCAGCCTTAATTACACTGCCCGTTCTGGGTGCTATGGCAAGTAGGAAATACAGAAGGGTGGTGGCTGGTTTWTTTTCCCTGTCAAAGGACTCCTCTGTAGGATGCAGACTGTACTGGGAATGGATCAGGACTGCTTTGGGGAGGAGGCTGCTATCTGCCACATTTCCTCCAGGAGGTGGATGCCATGCTGTGAATGAAGCAGGGGTGCTGGTTAAAACAAACACAGGTTTGTGAAGTTCATTTTGCACCCTTAGCATTATATCAACAAATGTATTTGCATGCAAATTTTAAATAAGCAAAAGGGATGGAGGGGGAAATGAAGAAAACAGAATGAAAATCCCATGTAGAGWGGAACATTGCTACTCTCCGAAGCCTTCAGACCTTCAGATCCACAGCACAGTTTCCACTGACAGAGCTGCTGATGCTAACTCACCAGCATCAGCAGCATCAAGGGTTTTTGGCTCTGCTGTCTTTTAAAATTTGCAAATGCATTGTTCACCACGCTTCAGTGCAGGTGTGAGCCTTTGGTGCCACATGGCTTGAGTGGATAACATCCACGTGGCCTGTAGRTGTGAGGTGTGGTGGTCTCTGCCCTGTGCTGATATTCCTGGTGAGGGTCCAGCTCACTCCCACCAGGCATGGGCTGGATTAGTGCCCTTGGAGGCTGTGGGACCGCCAGAAGAGGCTGCTCTTGAGTGCCTTTGCTCCATAATTACAAGCACAGAGAAATAAATTACAGAGGGTGGCACTATGTTTCTAGGTCTTCCAAAAGAAACCCCTTGCCTGCTCCTGTTCCTCCCCACTTCATGCTGTACCSCCCAGGCCTATTTTGCTACATCAAAAATGAGGACAAAATAATACAATTCGCCTTCATACTCAGCACAAGGCACTTACACCACAAAATAATCCTACCATATAACACCATTATGCATTATCATGTATATTATTCAGCACTTTGAATAATGCAAAGCTTTCCTAGCACCATGCTGAACATGTCATTATCGCATCATGTCAGGGACCCATGCATTTTCCTATGCCCCTCTTAATAATGCTTCCCAAGTTGCTAGGCTTGGATGACACATGGCTACACACACATGTGGGTTTTCTTCAAAGTGAACATGACTAACAGTCTCAAGTGCTTGGAAATGAGTTCAGTCAATCGAAATCAGAGCCAATGTGATATGTCGCTGACAGACCTCTATAATACTCGCCTTTCCAAGCTGAATCTGTTGAAGAGTCCTCTCTTCCCCTAGAGTCTGCACCCTAAAAGCTGGATATAAGACCTGGATTAAAAATGTGAAGAGAGCTTTGATCACATTTTACCTCAGTAAAGTAAATTGAAAAGGAAAACTATTCCATCATCTCCTCTGCTGCCTCTGTACAAATCCTGTGTGGACCCACTTTATGAACCTACTAAAACCAGTACCAGCCTCCTTGCAACATGCCTGGTAATGCTTCATGCAGTCTAACAAATGGGACAGCTTGACAGTTAAATAGAAATTCTTTTATTATAAGTGYCAGTGTTACCCTTGTTAAAAAGACTTCTTCATCTCCAAGTGCAACAGTTCTGTCAACACCTGGAGATACACAACTGAGATCCACTGAGCCCCTCCAAAGTACTCTCTGTTTCTCTCTCATAACCACTTCATGTRCCCTGCTGAAGGCTGAAGTGGGGATGGTAACAGAACTAGTGGCAACTCAAGTGGCTCCTAGATAAATCCACTTAATCTCATTTTCTTGCAGTAGTACACTTTGGAAGAGCAAAGASGAGGTGGAAGAGTGGTTTATCTCAAATGGAAAGAGGAGGATCTTTTTTCAGTGTGACACAGAGGTCAGTAAAGAAGTCTGCAGTCCTTTCCTAAACATATATGAGGGAACAAAAGTGATTAGTTTCTATTCTCTTTCTCTGATGGCTTCAGCCCTGTGGTTCCCAAGGGCACAAAGGAGTCAAAGAGCTCAGCCCATTAATAGTTAACTCCAGCCTAGAGCCAAGCAGCCCCTGAAGCACCCCTAATGACTGCCTCTCACCAAYCCTCCAGCCCACCAGAAACCTGATAGACGTGGCTAACACCATARTCTAAGAGCATGCTGAGATGAGATGTATCTTCCCTCACACGTTTCCCAGGATTTCTTCTGGGCTGTCATCAAACCAAGGGCTCTTTGACCAGCCGTTTTCCCTCTCACTGCTGCAAGCCCCACAAAGGCAGCCCTGCTCTGCATACCGCACACAATGGCGTGGGTAAAAGCATCATCACATGCAGACCAGATGTAGTCAGGTGCCACCAYTGAGCTCTATGACCTTGTGTTTAGCTGGAGGAGGGGTACAGCTTCTTCAGCAGACCACCTGACTCCAATGGAGTGATGGACTTAATCCATTACAACATCAACACTTAACAGGCTTAATGCTGGAAATGCTACTGCACTGAGGCTATTGGTATCTCCTCCTCAGCTAAACAAATTTGTAGCTACATGGGCTCAAATGACAGACTTCTCAGGATACAAATTGTTATAAAAAAATATATTGTCAATGTGTCAAATTATTAATTTTATGGGATATTTTAGCAAGTTGAAGAAGCAATATTTTTTTTCAAGAGGTGTGGTCAGAAAAAAAAAATGTAAAGGAGGAGCTGGTGTCAGTGGACCAACACAGAATCCTTCTTCCAAAACAGAGAACTCTAGAAGTATTCATGTAAAATAGGAGTTTTCAACAAGTATCTTTAGGTATGAGTGCAGTAAATGTTAATGCTTTGACATATATTCTTAAATCATCACTGTGCGTATTCCTTGCAAAGTCATATTTTATGTTCTACAATAAAATGAAAAGCAGAGGAAGGCATTGTTTTATTAATAAAACCATTTGTCTACACTTATTTAAAACAGTGGCAAGGCTTGGGGTGCTCTGTATATGAGCAGTTAGCTAGTCTGATAGGAAACACTATCCTGATTATCTTGACTTCTATTATTTTGATAGAATAAAAAAATCCCCAGCAGTTGCTTTTATAGGACAAAAAACCCACACAGCACTGCAGTCTCGATTATACTGTTAACCCTGTGCCATAAAAAGGAGGAAAATCTTACATATGTTTCCTGACTCCAAGTATTTTAATGATTCAAACTAAGCTTGACTATGCTTTAAACTAAACACATGGACAAAAGCCAAGTGAATTTGCTAAGACAATGTTTCTTCCTTTAAGCACTGTAAGTTAGAACAAGGACTAGGCTATTGGGYAATGCTCATTAAATTGTTTTACAGCAGCATATTTTCATTCATAGCATCTAGCAGCATGCTGAGTGCTTTTGGGTCTTGGAAATAAAACTAAATTTCTTCAGCAAACATAACACTCTACTAAAGTCTTCATCAAATATGTAAAAGTATCTGGCAAGTTAAAGTTACTTATGGTCCTCTGAGAACCATATCACCCAGAAGTGAATAGTTCATCCTCAGGAAAGAGAAAAGAAAACCTATTTGACTACTAAGAGACACTGCAGTTTGCAATGGCAGCCATACAGTGTGACTGTGAACAGTGAAATTACACCAAATTATGCAAATTTCCCTGTTGTAAACTGCATATTCACATTCCAGCATTGCTCATTCTCACACACATACTTAACTGCACACACCTGTGCAGTCTTATTGGAGCCAACAACGTACAGCTCACAAAATAAAGTTCYCACTTCCAGCACTTTAACCTGCGCCTCTGCTCTCTGTTTATTTGCTAAATCAAATCACCCCTGGAAGAGATGCTACATCGTGATCTGCCAAATACATATAAAAAATATTCATTGCTCAGTAGGCCAAATCTCTCTTTCTACAATCTTTGGCATAGTGCTGGCAAAGTGTTTTTGCAAAGAGCATTTTTAGACATTTCACTAAAACTATTAAAAAATCTGGATAATTTCCACAACATGTATTTCTGACCTCTRCGCATGTAACTGCATGCCAACCACAATCCTTGATATCAGTGGAGCTGTGGAAGAAGGACAGAAATGATCCAAGACCCATAATACCCCCTGAACAAGACCTAGCTAATGCAGCAAAATCCCCTACAAATGATTTCTTCAATATGTGCAGAAAAACCCCACTCTGGAGTAAACACAATGGTTTTCCTGTGTTGAATTTACCAGGGAGTAGCACACCACCACACACAAATAATCTGCCAAAAACAAAGGAAACTTCTATGGAATTACAAAGCCCCGCAATTTGCATAGTAATTCTTTCTAATTAAGAAAAGAAGATACAAGTTGTTTGTTATAAACATCAGCAGGCCCTGTGCAAATACGAAGGGCTCGCAGCCGCGCTGAGTATTTGTCGAATCAAAGCGACTCGCTGGAGAGTTTTATTGGTACAGCTGCGGCGCATGCATTTTATCACACATGCTAATAATCCTGGTTATGGCACTAACATTTTAATCATTTGTTCTCTGGGCTTGTTTCTCAAACAATTAGCACTAATGAATGGCCAAAATACCTCGGATCATATATGTCTAATTGCAGTCAAGAGCGGTTATTGTCCGCATGTACATTTCAATTCACCTCTGGGGATAATGTTTGTTAATTGTATTTCTTTATATAGCAAGTGAAAAAAGGCTGTTCACTCAAAAAGGGACTAAGTGTTCTCTTCTTTCCCTTTGTTCCCACAAGAAGCTAAAGTCACTTCAAGAGCCACTTAATCCCATCATCCATGGTTACAATTGCCTTACAGCATCAATCAAAAAGAATCTGAAGTAAAATGATGC